TGATCAGAATAAAGCAAAAAAAATATGTAAACTCATATCCTTGTTTGGATATGCATGCATTTTGCTATTGCATTTGATGTAAAAATGAATTGTCAGCTTTTCCCCACAAATTACTGATTGTTAAAAGTTTATAACTGCACATATATATACTTTTCTGTATATTGGGCTAAGAGTCAAATTCATCATGAATTCATTCAGCTTTTAAAGAAAATTAATGTATTTCACTATGCCTTTGATGCTCACCAAATGATGTTGAAACAATTATGGCATGGCTCTTACTATTTAAAAGCCATAATAACACTTTAAACTCATTATTATGAAAATATTAAGCCCTGGATTATAGGTATATTGGGCTTAAATGGAATTTCTCAAGCGGAAGTGCAAGAAATACAAGATTAAGCAGAGTGAGGAACCAGAGCTTGAACTGGTGCTATAAAACTTGGTGAGCATAAAGAGCTTATGATGCGCTAAGTATGGTGGGGCCTCTGACATGCCTTGCAGAGAATAAAAACACAAATCTAGAACAAAAATTATGTCAGATGGTTGGCAAGTGACTGAGCAATGTGCTTGGACCACTGCTTGTCATAAATACTACACCCTTAATTGGAAAGCATCTGTCTTCTCATTTTCTCTGCAGCAATCTCTATTTTCTATTTAAACTGTGAAAAATGCTTCTACTAACAGGTGCAGCAGTGTTTATAAATTTAAAAACTTATTTAAATGAAGTTGAAAGCCAGGTATGTTTCAATTAATAGGGCAATATCTTATAAGAAGGAATTGACTGCCATTTGGTAAATACGTTGATTCCTGTGGATTTGTGAGCTTTAGTTACTGGAAAGCTAAAGATGCAGAGGAAAGGCAAAGATGAACTGCGCTTTATGCAATTTCAGGTGATGCATTTGAATGCACAGAAACGAGGAAGACAAGTTTCACCTGAGAATATGAGTAATGCACAAAATTTCAATACTTATTTTTATCTGCTTGATTTCATTAAAAGCAAAACTAATAATATCCAATGTGTGTAGCAAACTATCCCTTTGCAATAGCTTATTTTTCTAAAATTTAGTTTTCATGTGGTTCAATTGCTATAACTAAATATAAAGAGGGCCCCATGTATTCCGGGTTTTGTTTTCACCAGTTCAGTTAACTATAGTCAACTTCAGTGCAAAAATACTAAGTGGGAATTTCAGAAATAAGCAATAAACTTTCAGTTGCATGCCGATCTTTGTAGCTCGATGTTCTGTCCTGCTTAAAATGTGAGTGTCTGTTTACCCAGTGGAGCCCACTTCCCATGCAACTTCTTGTAGTGCTTTACTCATCAGGAGTTAGATTCTCTGTCCTATTACTACAGTACATCTTATTTAATAATGATTCCCGATGGAAACAGTAACAACGACAACATCTTTAAAATAGTAAATTGTTATAATTATTCCAGTTTATTGTTCATTGTTTTTATCTGTGTTTAGTTAAGAACTCATCTTTATTTTAGATTTATTTATTTCTCACATATTTAGAGTTATAAAAAATGGAAGGTAAAAAACAGTTTATGGGGGTGGGAATATATAGGAGAGATTCCTTACACAACAGCAGGGGAGGAAGAAAAAAAAAAAAGAGGATAGAAACAGCTACACGTACCAGCTCTTGCTTAATCAAACCAGGCCTTCTAAGGCCTATATAGCCTTCACATTAGTGTTATAAACTGGGGACCAACTGCAAAAAAAACATGAGCCTGTGGAGGAATTCCAAATTCAGAGGGGAAGAGCGGAATGTACTATTTTGTGTCAATTTTCTTTCTTAGATATCAGTAAAGCATCAGAGGCACAGATACACATGGACTTGAGAAATAACAGATCTATAGAAAGTGTTGATTCCTAGCCCTCTGGGACACTTCTCTAAACACAACATGTGAAAATTAAATTTGTGAGAAGGATCTAATTTCTTTGACTACTTTACTGATGGGCATAGTAAAATATTTTAATATCCTACATGAAGCTTTTCAATATTTAAAATTCCTCTTAATAGCTATGTACAAATATTTATAATAGGCTAACACAGAAAGTAAAGGTTAATATCTGTTCTTCAGAGAGTGTACATGAATCGTATCATCATAACCAATCCTATTTTGTAAGGGACAAATCTATTTTTAAAACTTCTCCCCACTGAATCACCACAAGGAAGGTCATTTGTCACTAAAACATGGGGGACTCTACTAATTACTTTTGTACAAACAAATACAATGAAAACTGATTTGGAAGACAAGAGTTAGGCATTCTAAGTGTAGTTTGTAACACTGTTTGGGTTTTTCAGAGTAAGGCCCTCTGTAGGAGAGACACTGGCTTCCAGGAGTTTCCCAGTAATAACAGCACAGCATTGCCCCTCATTTCCCATCTGCTTCCTCTCATCTGCTTCCCCACATTCTCCAGCAGATTAACCCCAGAAAACATCTGTTCACCTTAACGATAAAGAGCTCTTACCTCACACATGGATGTGTGCTTCCCGATTATCTTGCAATATTCCACTAATCTATGAACCCTAAACCCTGACAAGAAATTGTGTTAATCACAATGGTTGATGGGGTCTTAGCATGAGCACAGAGCTCATTCACAATCTCATTTAACCCATAGCACAGTCTAGAAAGTGTGTTCCAGAGTAAAGGAAAGCACTTCATCTAAAAAATAATTCTGGAATTCTGGGAAGAGGAAAGCTCGTTTCCACAGTCCTGACCCAGCCACAGAAGAAACAAGATGTGACTGCCTCTCTAAATAAGGTACTGAGCCACGTAGCAAACATAGACAATAATAATGGGCTAATATAAGTTATAAGAGTTAATAAGAGACCTAAACTAATGGGTCAATCAGTTTATAACAAAATAAATAAATAAATAAATCCAAGAGACTCGTTTTTATTTTTTTTAAATCTGTCTTGTAGGGTATTTACTCAAGTCCTACAGCTATGCTAGAATACCTGTGGCTGAAAACTTAATGAAAATAAGTTAGGTGCACAAAACAGAAGCTACCATTCAACAGGAGAGCAAGATGGCAGCCAGGTGTGCTAGGACTTGTGGAGGATGAGGGAAATTCAAAGGTATTGTGCAGGAAAATGTAGATGTTATTTCTTATCTTATGTTTTTCATATTTTCATTGATTATTTGGGAATTTCACATCATGAACTCCAAGCATACTCACTTTCCAGTCCTCCCAAATCTGTCTCCACAACCCTCATGATCCCCCACTCCCATATAAAAAAAAAAAAAGAAGAAGAAGAAGAAAAAGAAAGTTCAATTGGTGTTGCCCATATACTCAGGGCACATTCAAACTCCCAGTGGCCAGCTCCTTAATCAAAACTGAATCCTTCCCCACCCATAGCCCTTCCAGAAGCCATCAATTGTGGATAACTACTCTTCACCATTCTCACAATTTTTAAGAGTTCCCTTCAGTGGCTTTCTAAGATGTTTTGTTTTGTTTTGTTTTGGCAGGATGGGTAGGGGTTGACACAGAAACCTTCCACGTCCCTCTTTCTCACCTGTGAGTCTGCAGTCATCAATACCATGGCAAACATAGATTCCTTGTCTTTTACAATCAAGGAAGCACAGATCCTGGAATTACACACAATCTCTGGAGAAAGCAGAATATGCCAAAGACCTCAGCATGGTCTCAGGTAGCAATACAGACCACAGACATCAACACAGCCCTCTGCTGCTGCATGGGCCATGAACACCACCATAGACCTCAGGGGAAGCACAGGCCAAGGATATCAACATGGCTTCAGGTGACAGTGCAGGTCAACGACTTATTAATGTGCATATATTGAGTTTGTGCAAAAGAACCAACATGCGTATACAGTCTTTTCCAATCTGGTTAATGAAGCCAGAGCAATAGCTAGCAGATGAAAGCACCTGCCACATAAACCAGACGAGCTGAGCTCAGTTCCAGAGTCCACTTTGAAAAGAATGAACCTACCCTTGAAATTTCTCCTCAAATTCTGCATACCTGCTGTGACAAGCACACCCTTCATGTTCAACAAACAACCACAATAATTTTAAAATGTGTTTCAAGATGGTGGACGAAGATCTTAACTTAATCAAGTAAATCTGAAGTATTACTCTACATTACCAGAGTTAATCTCACCACAGTAGAATTCTCCTGAAGTTTGTTGCCTCCATGAGATAGTGGATAATAATCACTGTCTCCAGGGAAACAAGAGTGTAGAACAGAGAGCTGTGGATAATATAGCACTAAGCCCTGCCAAGTCTACTAGAATTTAGGAACTGCATAACTGGAGATGGGTCTATGTAAACATAATTTAAAAGTCTTTCCTAGACATATCTACATTTAAGGACCATAGTACACTTCACTCTATTTTGTAGTCAATGTATTGTCAAGATAATAATGTTCTAAAGCAGGGTGTTCCAGAACCTCTCACAGACACATGAACAATGTGTGCAAGAAGGTTTAGATTTACTTGGAAGCAGCTTGCTGATTCTCAGAAATAGTAAAGGATTCAGTTCCAAAAACTAGATAAACAAGGTTAGTGAAAATGAATCACACTTTCACATTATTCTTTGGCGAAAAGGTTTTCAGGAATGCAAACTGTTGACAAACTTTGAGAGCTAATGCACAAGACTCACATTAACACAGAGCACAAGAAATGTATTTCCTCTCGGGCACAGAAGGAGAGTCTTCTGCTCAGCCATGAGCTTCTGTCAACACTGAAGTCTACAAATTACTCTGATGTTAATCCAACAACTGATGTTTCTTGCTGCAAGGCTCTCTATGAAAATGTGAGCAACAGGGTAAGTCTTTCTAAATGGAATCAAACACTCTTTAAAGCTCATGTTTCCAATGATATTTCAAAGCCTCTAAAAAAAGATTATTTCACAATGAAGCCCCTTCCTACAGTGACCTATTTTGTCTGAAAGATGAATACAAAGCTATGTTAAAATAAAATCTGCATATCTGCTATATTGCAAGTGAGTGCTTCCCATGTTTAGAGACAATTACCTCTAATGTTTTGATGTCCTCATATGTATACTGCACAGCTGGAACTCCAAGATGGTTGATGAAATAATCGGCATCACCTTGTATCTGTACAGAGCTGACATTGGCTCCTGGGCACTGAGATTTTCGGGTACAGTTGAACTTAATTGTCTGAAAAACACAATTTAAATACTGTCAACATTGACTCATGCTTCCCAGATAGTTTGCAAGTCAGTGTAACTCAAAATGTGGCCCCGAGATCAGCAAATCAATGAACTAATGTTGGGATGCAGGTGACCAGGCTTTTCCCTTCAATGGGACCGTTGAAAGTAGGGGCAGCAATCTGCTCTCCAGTGGGTAGGTATCCTGGCAGCTGGGAGCCAAGGAATACCACAAAGACACTGTAAAAGTAGGAAATTACAGCCCTGATCTAAGGAAATGTGTCCCCAATACAAGTGTAACAACTCTGCCCCAGCAGGAGCCATTTTCCCCAACATAATTACCATAGCTCTGCTTAGGTCCCTAGGAATGTAACAACTCTGCTTCACTAGGGGAAACTTTCCCTGGCCAAAGTGTGTTACAGTGCTGCTCTGCTCCAGTCTGCTCCAGCAAATGTTGTCGTAACTGGGCTTCATTTCCTGCAAAAAAATGGTCACACCACACAACAAACCTCAGTCAAGAGATTTACTGGAAAGAAAGAATTCAGAAGGGTGGCTGCCTCTGGTGAGAAATAGCCCATAATAAAATTTTTAACTTTGTATTTGTCGGCTCTCCTGGCATTTATTCTTCATGTAAATAAGCAAAAGTCTTGTGGACTGAGCCATTTGACTCCTTAATTAGTAGCTATTGAACTTTCCTGAGATGCTTTAAGCAAAATGTCTATGAGATAAACAGGCAGCTGGATTAGCCTTATGCCAGCACCAGGAACACCTCCAGCTAACTATGCAAAAGATGGAAGCTAACTGTCATGGTGCTCCGAAGCACAGCCTCAGCCAGTGCTGTTAGAGACTGTCTACAACAGACTTGTAATCACAAGCTTCAGTGAATTGTGTCCACCTTGACCAGAGACGGAACAATTTCCTGGTGCAAGAATGACTCTGACTGGTTATAATATGAGACAGTGATTGGTTCAAAAGACTATCGTTGTTGTAATTGGCCCAATACTTATAGTTGGTCCAAACTAAGTGACCAAATGACTGTGATTGGTCCATATACTCTGTAAATGAGTCATCTGGATTAACTCTTCTGAGCTGTGTCTACTGAGCTGCTTAGGCCCATTAGTTTCTCTACAGTAGTCTTTTCTTGACAACTTTAGTAATATGAACTGCCTAGGGGAATAGTAACGTAGTGATAAAGTTTATTACAATGCCTGCTGGCAAGCTGAAAGACTGATGCAGGTATGCTGCGTGCTCAAATACTATGTGGCATCCTTTGGATCTGGTGACACTGGTGTAAGGCTCCAGAATAGCCCAGCTCGTATTTTGTTTCCAATCGTCAGGCTCTGGCTTCAAACTCAGAGTATCAGAAAACTACTGTTTGAGTGCTGCAGATCCCGCTGGAGATCCCTTCTGGCCACAGCAAATTCCTGAGTATTATTGACTATTCCCTTTATCCAGAACTTAGGGCCCTACCAGGTCCTCCCGCTGAGGATCAAACCCTTGGCCTTGACTCTTTGACAGTGCTCTAGACATCTCTTGGTGTGCCTGGCCTGTATGTTTGCTTCTCTAGTTATTTACAGGCTTTATCAGTTCACTTCCATACCATCCATTTTCCTCAGCTTTCCCCTTTCTCTTCTTTCCTACCCATGCTTATCTGAGTGTGTTCAGGTATCATGATGGGAAATAGTTTTTTTTTTAACCTATGCAAAGATGTGTTGCGTTTGTTTAACTATGTTAAGATATGTTGCTCTTTTACCTTACCTGACTAAGATACCTGATTTGTCTAATAAAAAGCTGAATGGTCAGTAGTGAGGGAGGATATAGGCAAACTTCCAGGCAGGGAGAGTAAGGAAGAGGAGGAATTTAGGCTCGAGAAGAAGGAAAAAGACACAACAGGGAGATGTCAGGCGCAAGACAGACACATGGAGAAAGCAGGAAAGTAGGACAGACAGAAGGAAACCAAGGTTAAAAGGCAGTGAGGCAAAGCATAGATGAAGAGAAACAGACTAAATTAAAGCTAAAAGAGCTATTGGGACAAGGCTAAGCTATGACTGAGCATTCATAATTAATGTTTTTGTGTCTTTATTTGGCAGCTGGTTGGTGGCCCAAAAATAATTCCAGCTACATTATCATGTTTCCAAGCACTGGATCCTGGTTTCTTATTTCCTTTTACAATTTAGTAGCAGCTAACAGAAAAATGTGAGTTGCCTGTTTCTATGGGATTGCATCTACAATCTGGGTTAGAAGCATTTCTCTGCCAAATAATAGGCCAGTGTAGAGGGTAGTAGCTAGTTGATACCATTAGATGGAGGGAGGGAGTAAGGAAAAGAGAAAAGGAGGAAGGGAGAGAGAGAGTGAGGAAGACAAAAAGAAAGAATGAAAGAAAAGGAAAGAAGCCCAAATAAATCAAATTCACTTATCAGATACTAAGTAATATTGCTGCTAAGTTCAGTTTTCCAAAGAGTACTTTAGTAGAGTGCATCTGATTCATACCAAGTAATTGACTGGAATAGACTAAACCCTCAGAAGCACTAATGTCTGAGAGGAGAGTAAAGTGTTGTTTGCTTTATTTTCCTAGAAGTTAAATACCGTGGGAGATGGAAGGTTGCAAGCAAATTTGTGCAGGTCAATTAACTTTTTAAATTTATTTACAAGGCTGAGTAAATTCTTATTAAGTATTTTATCTAAGGAGTTCAAAATGAACTAGATTTAATGTTTGGTAACAAGCATTTTTATTCCAGTTCATAAAATAAGCAAGTTCAAGCAACAACTGTGTCTGTCAATTGTTTCATTTCTTCATGCAAGTCTGCTGAGGACCAGAAATGACATTACCATCCCAATTCTCAGAAGTCACAAAGAAAGAGCTCAGTAAATGAGCATATATGTGAGATATACACAAATTAGCTTAGCGTTTATAGTAATTGAGAAGCGGTGCTAAGTCATACTGACAAATATTTTTAAATACTTTTAAATTTGTAATTATTCTTTCTCCATATGTGTGTACATTTTATTATACCTCATCCTTTCTCTCCTACTGTTTCCCAATTCTTCCCCTAACATCTCCCACCCAACATCATGTTTTTGATAGTAAGACTGGTAGATGATATAGATAAATATAGATTAGACATAGATATAGATAGACATAGGTACTGCTGCGGGATCTTTTTGGAATAATCAACCCGACACCAAGGAAAGTAGAAGAGAGGAGATGTCACTAGTGGACCTATGCCAAGATAGTTCCTAAAGAGCTTCCACCTCAGGTGCAGTTTGCATTCTCATTTTCTGCTCTAGAACCACAAGGAGGGGAGGGCTACTTATGGAAGTGCATATGCCAGTCAGCAGGTTTTAAGGGCAATGACCCAGAGCTTCAGCAATTTCTCTCTCTCATTCTGTTCCATATAGCCTATGAAGTCATACTTGGCAAATAGCCAGCACGAGCAATTCTTTAAGTAAATTGCTGTGGGAGCTCCTTCTGCCCCTTCAGCCAATAGCCTTTAAGATATCAGCCCACTTGGTCATTATCTCTTTTGCTTTAAAAAGCAGCGGTAGCCCTGCTCTCACTTTCTTGCATCTGGCTCCTGCTTTGAGGCTGCTAGACTCTGCTCCTGTTCACTCAGGACAGTGATCTCTGAGTTTTCCCCTTACATAAATAGCTCTTTTTTAATCATAATTCCAAACTGGCATGAGATTGTTTTGTGACTTACGCCATCAGTAAATCACTAAATAAATCAATAAATCAGTATCAAATAATTGAGCTTTTTCACCTTATTTTTTACTTCAGTATCATAAACCAAAACATTTTAATCCTGCTTTGGCAGCTCACACTTATAACTGCAGTGCATAGGATGGTGAGGCAGGAGAATCATCCACATTGTGAGACCATGCTGGATTACATGGTGAGTTCCATGTCCTTCTTACTACAGTGGCAACTCAAAAACAGGTTTTAAATGCTTTTAAAGGATGTATTACTGTTTAACAGCTCAAGTGTTTTATTTATCTCATATTCTCTTTCCCTGCATGAATAGGAATTCATTCACTAGTCAAAGGAAATCTAATGACTGCTTGTGCAGGCAAAGTGCATTTAAAAGGTAAGAATTACAGTCTATTATCACTATTAAGTTAAATCTTTATTTTCACTTCAGCCATATCTTCTAACCTCAGCTGTGTAAAGTGACTCCATCCCATTGGTAGCACAGTGGTTTCCCCAGTGCAGTCATGGTGCTTACAGTAGTGAAAATAATTTCTCACTACAAACACTATGCCTGCGTCACTTACTATAGACTCTGTGTGCCAACCTAATTCAACTCCTGAAAGCCTCAATAAAAAGCACATTGTTAAGTCCTCCTGTGAGGGTGGTCTTGGATGATATTAAGATCTGAGGAAAGCAAGCCCTCATCCAGCCAAACGAAGCTCTGGATGTAGTGTGCAGGCTGGTCCTCCCAGGAGGCAGGGGCAACTCCCTTGCCTGAGCACAATTTCGTGCATGTATGTATCAGTCTTGGCAGCAACAATGACATGGCAGATACTGGATAGCTGAAGCAAATGAAATTCTCTTTTAGTGGATCTGGGGGCTAAGAAAAAGCTATCCAAGTACTGTAATAGTCAACGAGGCTGAGGACTGGTACAGAGAGTAGTTCTCCTGGGTCTTCAAGGGGTCGAGAACAGAAAAACCAAGAGTCTATTGCTCTTCTAATGAGTGTCAGCTCCATCCATTAGGGCTCAGCCCTTATGGTCCAATTCCCTCCCTGTATGGTGGTGCCCTCTTTCAAATTCTCCAACATTGGTGATTCCATATACAAAAGTGCAAGCAGGGACTTTCTTCTTAGGTTCTTCAAGATGCACGATCTTGAAGTGCCTATGCCAGTCTAATGATTATATTTGGTTCCTCTATTTATCCACAAAAGAAGGAATGAGTTCCTCAGGTCATATGCAAAGTGTCATTTGAATACCATGGAACCAAACTGTCTCTCAGTTTAAGGGAAATGATGATTTGAAATGAGGTACTGGATGATA